TCGCTAAGCAGTGGAGATTGAAATTTTCGCGCTGGAATTTAATTTGCTACGAAATTAATTCGCCAGCGACGAGCGAAATTATGAGTGGAAAACGGGCTTAATGTAAATGGTTTGAACCCGGGAGTATCGTTACATGTTTGTAAATGTCGATCGTCCAGGTTGGTATAGTCCTGAGAAGGACTGTTTTTGTTTTTGTTGACTGACGTTTCGACAACCTTAGCGGTAGTCATCTTCAGAATCAAGAACATACAAGTTACACAAAAATCTAAAATGCATCTATTTCTTTGGTAAAATCATTATTTCCACAGTACACACCTCTTTGTGTATTTCTATTGCTCGAAGTGCTTTGCCTAGGCTTATGAATAATCCGTTTGCCACCTTCGCTTCTTTGAATAACTTTATCTCTACTGGCATTTTCCTTCGTAATAGTTTTACTGCTACCTTGAACACCTCGATTTGTAATAGCATTAACATTGCTTATTGCAGACAGCAGCTGCTCATCAATCATTGGTTTCCTCGGCCTACTGCGATTATGAGACATGTGTTTGCATAAATAAGAGGTGAAACCCCGATGTGTTTGATATTTCATACAAAATACTCATACAGGGCAATGTAGAATATCTTCACTCCTATAACAAAACAAAATAGCGCGTGCTAGGTTTTTCAGTTTTTTCATTTTGGCAACTGGCAAAGGAGCCATTCATGTCACCAGACCTGTTGTTGAATGGACGTTTCTTCAAATTGACTTATAGAGTTAATTTTAGGGTATTTTCACAATTGGTGTATAGAGTTAATTTAAGGAAGAGACTGGGTTGGTTATACTTATGATATACACAATGTACATCCAATTCAAGTTGTAAACAGTGGCGTATCTAGCAGAAAATTTTTGTTCACACTATTTTATGTAGAGCCATGCCCTATGATGTCATGATTTTCAACCATGTGTATAGTAAGACATAAGTACTTTATTGAGGTTTAGTGAACAAATTTTAAACTGCAAACAAACAGCATATAAGTTTCTAACAAATCAAAATAAAATTTACAGTCTCAGGTTAAGATCTCAACTTCATCATCATTTCAGTAGCCATGACTCTACATGCAGCTATTAAGTTCACCCACACTAAACTCAAGGTAACATTTAGTGTTTTGACTGTACACATGATAATGAATGACATGATGTTAAAGGAGAAATGTCAGTATTAGCATAACTGACCTCAAAACTTTTAAATTCACAATAAAGCGATAAAATAATAATACAACCACAAATATTCTTATATACACGTGCATGTCAAGTATGAAGCAAAATTCAATTTTTGAACAGTCACAATATTCCATCATCACATCCTTTTGGAGTTTAAAATCAAAACATTTATAAACTTTCAAACATTTTCAAATCTTTAAAAATAACACACTTGAGCTAAATATTTATAATCGCACATTGCCAGGGGTGGGAAAGTTAGTTCAAACATAGTGAGAATTAAAATTATCTTTGAATTTTCTTCTAAAAGGACAAAAGCACAAATAGCTTGCAAAAAACCTTGATAGGTGAACTAAAAATAGCTTTATACAACAAAACCAGTTTGTGAGCTAATCAGGAAATAAAAAAGTAAAAAGATATTTTGTTTACGACAATGCTAAATCACCGTTAAAATGAGCAGACTTCGTAAAGACTGCTAACAGGTTGTTTCTTAGGCAAAATTAAACATGGTGGCTGTGGCAAAAGCTATTATTTTAAGGAAAATAATACGAATACAAAGAGAAAGACGACAAAGGCGTCTTCATATATTGTTGGCTTTCATTAATAGAAGAAGAAAGATTTGTCAGTTGTGCTTGTTAATGCTAAATCTTATTTCTGAGGAGAATGAAATACCTAGAATTCGTTCTTGTAGTCGGCTTGAAAGAACATTATCATGGAGACACTGGTGGGTATCTATATTGTTCACCTATTTAGAAAAGCGCTTTAGGACTACATTTCGTGTATCACGAGATATTTTCACGATGATTCTCTGCAAAATTGAATGTGATTTAGAAAAGAAAACAATGTCAGAGCAACCGGTCTCACCAGCATGTCGATTGGCTATATGTCTTTATAGATTAGCACGTAGCGAATATTACACTCTTTCTGAAATGTCTGATGCATTTTCCTTCGTCAGAAGGACATATGAGGGAAAAAATAATTGATATGGAAGAACTCTGGCAATTTCCATGTTGGTCTGCAGTTGATGGGTGTCATATCTCAATTAAATGTCCTAATGGAGGTGCAGAGGCAGCCAAAGAATATCACAATTTCAAAAATTTTTATTCAATTGTTTTAATGCGTTTGATTGATGCCAAGTATAGGTTTGTGTGGGCAAGTGCTGGATTTCTGGGCAATACCCATGATGCCATGATCTTACAGGCAACCCAGCTTTGGAAAGATATTATAGACAACAATCTTCTTCCTGCTATTTCAAAAAAGATTGAGGGCATTGAAGTTGGTCCTCTTATGTTGGTGATTCTGCTTTTCCTTGTACAACCTGGATTATGAAACCCTACACGTTCTCAACACTCCAACCTCAAGAAAAAAACTTCAATTATCGTTTATCTCGAGCTAGAATGGTGACTGAATGTGGCTATGGCCAGCTTGAGGGAAGATTTAGGATTCTTTTCAGGAAATGTGAATGTAATGAACAAACAATGAAAGCAGTCACATTGGCTTGTGTTATTCTTCACAATATTTGCATCGAACATGATGAACCTTTTCCTCAACAGCCTGACATAGCTGCTGATCCAGCCACTTTGGAACGACGAGATCGGCAAGTTGTGAGAGATATGCTTGACATGCGAAAATGTGAAAAAGTCAAAGATGCATACATTAATGCCGGGAAAATACGAGCTGCATTAAAAGAAAAGTTATGGAGACAATAAGACGTTTGAAAAACTGCGAGCTCTATCACTTTATGCATTGTTTTATGTTATAAGATTCACGTTATGCACTGTAATTAACAAAAATTTTTTATATATGACACATTGATAACAAATAGTTATAGTTTTATACCATAATGTTTAATAGTTTTTATTGTTTATGTTTTTTAAACGGATAAAAGCAACAAAATTACATTTTAGTGTATTTGTTCATTTGAGAATCAAAGGGTGAACTAGCTCCAGGCATTGGATAGTTAAGGGAGGTGTTTGTGAGACCATTGAATGCACCCAATGCCGTGCTGGCGGATAGCAGGGTTGAGTTGTGAAGCATGTCTTTGTGCAGGTGGTGCTTGATTGGATAAAAGTTTAATAACATCTAGATCTTTCTGCATCTTCTCTCATGAAATTCAAAAGATCTTTAGTTGGATCATTTGCCACCATGTTCTCCAAAATTTTTAACACCTTTGCAAGTGGCTCTTCCTTGTTTTTTTTCTTTCGTTTTTTAATTGGGACAAACATATCCCTTCCTTTTCTTAGAGCAGGCTCTTTTGTTTTTTCTTCAATGTCCTCCTCCTCCTCATCACTTTCATCTTCATTAACAGGCGTACTACATGTACTTGAACTTGTGTATGTGGAAGGCTCAATGCTTTGCTCTGGTTGACAGCAATCCCTACTTTTAATTAAGACAATCAAGGCATTGAACCACTTTCCAAATCCTTTTTCATCAACAAAACGATTGATGCCGGTAGCAGTTTGGATTGTAAGTGCAACTTTTTTACATGTGCCGACATACCATTTAAACTTGTTGCGAATTTGCTCCAATTTGAAAGGGAATGCTGGGTGCCTTGCTTTCACCTGCGCCAATACCTGTTGGTAAACTTCGGTATTCGTTGATCGCCTATTATTTAAAATAATACTGTAAACTAATTTCTTACAGAATGAAGAAATATACCTACTTTCTCTGCTTAAAAAGACATCGTAGTCGCGACTACGAATTTTTTACAAAACATCGTACTCAGATTGATGACGGCTACGTGTTTTCGCGCCAAAATGACGTAAATCGTACTCGTAGACTCTGCTAAAACTCCCTAATATCGACCATATCGTCAACATGTTCTTGAGACCATAATGATCGCCTACCCGACGATTTCTTCGTCACTTCACCGTCTTCAGCAAGTGTGCGACTTCGTCGTCTTTGACACCTTCGGCCTCGATGGACTGCACATTGAAAAAGCAATTGTTGCAGTATGCAGCGCACACCATTTCTAGCCAGCCTTCTACTTCTTCGTTCTTTTCTTCCACTGGCACGATGGACGATTACAAACAGATATTTTGCATCGAATACATTTTGTATTTTGTTGCTGTTTCTACGGTGGCTCACAAGGGCCACCACACAAAATAAAAATATTAATACACACAAAATAAAAATACACACACAAAATACATTATACACACACAAAATAAAAATACACACGCAAAATACATTATACACACACAAAATAAAAATACACACACAAAATAAAAATACACATACAAAATAAAAATACACACACAAAATAAAAATACACACACAAAATAAAAATACACACACAAAATATGATTGCGGGCGCTTGCAGTGTCGGCTTACTCGGAATTGCTCGTAATTGATCGTTTTTGTTTTCAAAGTTCTAATGGTTCCAACTTCCAGAGTACATAATAAAATTCATTGATTTCACTGTGATCAATTATTTCAAAGTTGCTTATGATATTGCTCCCCGTATTCTGGTTAAAATTAAGGTTAATGTGTTGTCCTAGTTGCGGCAACAATTCCGGCTCAGTCTCGGAATCAAACACGTACTGTGAAGGTTGTTTATCAGAGGAAAACATTACACGCTTGATAACAGGTTATTTCAATCGTGGTTATCCGTATGGGGCAATCGTCAGACTTTTGCAGACCTCCGGTATTCTGATGTCTATACGGACGTTGAAGCGCCGCTTCAGATCTTTGGACTTAAGACGAAAAGGACAAGTCGTTGATGAACAAAATTTAAGAAATGTTATAGAGTATATAAAAGCCTAGGAGCAAACGCTTGCTGGCACCTCGACGGTAAGATTACATTAATGTAGTTTCTATGAACCTAGAAGTAACAAATACCCCCGACAAGAACTTGCACTTATGCATTGGAGGGATTATCTGCAAGATTGCGAAGGTAATGTAAGGTAGTTCATTGACTATATTTCTAGTTTACAGTATTTACAAAGTCCTGTAGTACTAAGATGTTAAGTTAGAACTTGTAAGTATGCATTATTATTTCTGCAGTTGAAAAATCGAAGAAATTAAACACGGCTAGTTGCTACATCAACACGTATATTGCTCTCTGTTTAGCTGGACGATGTGGTGCTACTTTGGGAGATGTACTAATCTTTGCAACAGGAAGTGATGACATCCCACCTCTTGGCTTTACACCAATGCCTTCACTATGCTTTTGGGAAGATGTTCGTCCAAGATCAAACACGTGTGATACCACACTTTATCTCCCTCTATTCCCTGGTGGTTCAAAGGATGAAGTGCAATATGATACTTTTAAAGAAAAAATGGATGATGGAATTTTAAATTCTCCTTCTTTTGGGATTCCATAAAGTTTTTTAGCAGTTTTTTATAACAAGTACATATTCAATTAGTTCAAAGTTCTTATAATGTGTTTATAACACTAAATTTCAAGTTTAGTGGCGGAATGCTACGTATTAGCATAATGGTATTCAACAATTTACAACAAATCATGTTTCATAATATAGTTTTATTTGCTTTGCAATTGGTTGCAAAAACCTTTTTGCAACAGTATATTTCTATTTCATCTTTGTGGCATGGGTATCATTATGCCAAATACTTCTTACATGGTAACTTTTCATGTTTGTAGATGTAGATTGTCCAGGTTAGTAGAGTCCTGAGAAGGACTATTGTTGTTGATGTTGACTGACGTTTCGATTTGACTCTGAGGATGCTTATTGCTAAGGTTGTTGAAATGTCAGTCAACATCAACAATAACAGTCCTTCTCAGGACTCTACTAACCTGGACGATCTATATCTACAAACATGTAACGATACTCCTGGGTTCAAACCATTTACTTTATTTAACTTTTATTATGTTGTGTGATAATCTATATAATTAACACTAACTTCATTGTGGTACATTAATTAAATGTTGAAAAATTTCAAATCCTTCATTTATGTCTTCAGGACATGCCAAATTTTTGTTTTCCAAGACATAATCAAAACATTCTTTGTAAATGTCCTCACAAATGCATGGGTCAATTCTCTCTTCCATTTCACTCAGCTTATCAGCAGAAATCTCTATTAGGCAGTTTTCACCCCTATAGTATTCTGGCAGAAAGAACAAAATGTCTGGAACTCCTGATACGGTTTCATGTTGCGACCTACAAATGTAGTGGCTATTTCAGTGATCTTTTACTTTTGTTAAATCTTTTTGAAATAACATGTTAAAAAAAACCACAGTGCCTCCATGTGGCAGGTATTACCCAACTCCAAAAAACCTTTTTGTGCCATATCTTGGAAAAAGTCAATCCACCAGCCTGACCTAGTTTGTCTCAGGAAAGACCACCATGCTTCAATTCTTTGATTTGAAAGAGAGGATCCATAAACATGAGCTTTCTCCCCTGCCCATTCATCATCTCCATCAGCTCTCAGGTAGCATTGCATTGCAGACAATAAAACATTTTCTGTCCCACAATGTGCAGCCTCCAAACTCCTTAACAGCATTAAGAAATATTTCTGCAATTACATTTGGATTTTTGTTTGATCTGACAACCTCAAGCAACAGAATTCTCTGCTGTAACCACAAACAGCACCATGTACTGCAAACCCATATGGTTTAAGTTTGTCATATCCTTAAAAAGGGAAGAGTTTGTTAGACATTTGCACTCAATAATGTGCTACAAAAAAGCTAGGTTTGGGTAACTGTTCCCCATTATCTATAAGTTTGATTAAAAATTCATAGAAACTACATTAATGTAATCTTACCGTCGAGGTGCCAGCAAGCGTTTGCTCCTAGGCTTTTATATACTCTATAACATTTCTTAAATTTCGTTCATCAACGACTTGTCCTTTTCGTCTTAAGTCCAAAGATCTGAAGCGGCGCTTCAACGTCCGTATAGACATCAGAATACCGGAGGTTTGCAAAAGTCTGACGATTGCCCCATACGGATAACCACGATTGAAATAACCTGTTATCAAGCGTGTAATGTTTTCCTCTGATAAACAATCATCACAGTACGTGTTTGATTCCGAGAATGAGCCGGAATTGTTTCCGCAACCAGGACAACACATTAACCTTAATTTTACCAGAATACGGGGAGCAATATCGTAAGCAACTTTGAAATAATTGATCACAGTGAAATCAATGAATTTTATTATGTACTCTGGAAGTTGGAACCATTAGAACTTTGAAAACAAAAACGATCAATTACGAGCAATTCCGAGTAAGCCGACACTGCAAGCGCCCGCAATCATATTTTGTGTGTGTATTTTTATTTTGTGTGTGTATTTTTATTTTGTATGTATATTTTTATTTTGTGTGTGTATAATGTATTTTGCATGTGTATTTTTATTTTGTGTGTGTAGAATGTATTTTGTGTATGTATTTTTATTTTGTGTGTGTATTTTTATTTTGTGTGTGTATTAATATTTTTATTTTGTATGTGTATTAATATTTTTATTTTATGTGGTGGCCCTTGTGAGCCACCATATGTTTCACATTCAACACATGTTTCATGCTTGCCCGCCATTTTGAAATTATGTGTTCGTGGAACACCATTGAGTTCTATAATAACTGGAGGGGAAACGTCAACAAAATTACTACAAATTATTAGCGCGCGGCCGCGTGGTCAAAAACATGGCGGATTTTGGTTGTCAAAGTCAGCGGAAAGACGCGGGCTCATAAAATGAAATTTTTTTCACCCACCCGGATTAGACAACCACAATTGCGATTATATAAAATTTCAATGCCAAGCACAAAAACTTTTAGAAATTTTATCTTTAAAACATGCTTAAAACTTGTTTGGTATGCGGATGCTGAAGTAATGCCAGAAAAGGAAACATTTCATGACACCGGTAAGCAACGTTAGATTGTTTACCATTTGAAGTGTTCAGTGTTTTGTTTTAAGTCAATACTTGATGTGTGATGGTATATATTTTGTGAATGTTTTTACTCCTAAGTTATAGTTTAAGTTATGTATATCCAGTCTTATTTGTTCTTTACTTAATCGCTTGCTAGACGAGGCAAAGCAACCAGTTCTTATCGAGATATGCATATTGTAAAACTCCTTGTTTCAACTGAGTTGAAATGGAGGATTTTTTCATGATATTTTTCTGAAAATATGAAGTAAATATTAAGGAAAGAGCTGTATTGAAATCAAATGCAATGCGGGATTAATTAATGAACTCTTTGGTACATGTCGTACAATAAAAAATACCTGTATTAAACAGCTAGCCTGGACAATGTGACAGATTATGGACAATCATGATGGTGTGTAAAGGTTTGCTTTATGCTAAAAGTTTTATAAATACCATCTGGTGTTTCTGTAAATAAATTGTTTGTTGCACAGTGTAGTAAACAGGTTAGTACATCAAAATCAAGATAAAAACTACATTGTTCAATAATGTGCCAAATTTTGCTCCTACCTTGAAATATTTGCTCAAGAAAAGCTTATGATGACATGCATGAAACATTAAATATAGTTAGTACTGCATCATCTGACAAAATCCATACGTTTTTCAATTCCAGGTGATTAAAAATTCACGTAAGATGCATTGGTTGCAATGAAGTTGAATGTAGAAGAAGCAAAAATTGATGGCAAAGAACTTTTTATGTCTTTTGAAGAATTACGATATCATTTAAAAGAATAAGAGTAGCAATGTAGTAAAAGAAGTGACATCTGTCTTCAACATGAGACTTTTCCAATTATGTATAGTTACTTTGTACAAAATACTATTTTAGATAGACTTGATTTTTAAGTCATTCACTGATATTTTTACCAAAAGACAAAAAGAAAAATTCAAAGGCATATTGTAAAATTCAAAAGTTTGTCAAGTTGTTTGAACCTAGAAATAATTAGTATAGGTAACTGTAATTTGTAAGGACACAAGAGAAAAGTAGTGCAAGAAGGTTAGCATTTTAAAGAATTAATAAGTTCTTGACATACATTACACAAGGCCATAATATTATAAATGTCTGTACAATAACAATTATACAACATGCTAAATATCTTCACCTACATTATAATTATTTAAACAGGTTTGCTTTCATGCAGCAATAAGAAAAGTGCTATGTCAGAGAAACCAATGCACTTTAATTTAAGATATAGTATTTTCAATGGGAAATTAATGTAGTTCTGTTCAGTAGTAGATCCATGGTTGTCAATAACAATCCAGTTTCTAATATCTTGGCTCAAAACAGAACCAGCAACATGATTTTCTGAATTTCGTTCTTTTGCTCTCCTAGTTCAAGATATTTTCCTCATAAGTTCTCAGTAGATTTATCAGAATATCATAATACCTTATAAGACACCCGGAATCAATCCTACCAAAAAAAACTCAAAAAAATTACATACCTACTTATAATATATTTCCAGTCGACTTAAGTCGTAGGGGTAAGCTAACTTTTTCTAACTCCTTTTTGGACATTCTAACTAAGATTTACCCATCTATTTAAGAAAGACAGTTGCACCAAGCTGTTAACAAACTGTCAAAAACACAAGTAATGCGCATGGGATTATGCCTTAAAGCTTAACGACACAACGATTCAGTATCTTCTTTTCCACTCCAGCTTGTGCACTCTCAACATACTTTGGACATAACCTCAACATCCAATACCTTACCAGTTACAAGCGATATTCCACTAACTACTCCGTACAATGATGAATACCCTCTCCGTCTCCAAGTTCTATCTGCAGAAATACCAACATCACAAATGCCATCATCTTCGGAGTCATAAAACTCCTACACGCCTTGTGCTGCTCTCTCCATACTGTCATTAGCTACATGTTTAGCAGCTGCATGGATTGCTTGAATATGATCAGTATAGGAATTGGCATTCATAGGTGGCAACATATTCATAATGTTACAAAACTTCACCAATCCCTGATGGCCAATTCCAATATTTCTCATAGACAATACAGCCCTCCTGTTTACTTCGAAAGGTTTTGAAGTGTAAAAATTTTCGAAATAAGAGCACTTTGGCAGAGAACATTGGATAGACATTGAGGATGAAAGTCCCATTTTGGCCACAGCATTTCCTTTCAAAACCACATGTCCTGGCTTACACTGGGGACACAAGAGATTTTTTATAATTGCCATTAAAATTGTTATATCCACTAAGCGAAATCCACTCTCACATTCACTATCATCATCGCTTGATGTATCTGTTGACAACTTTCTCTTAGAGGTGGGTATTGAAGAAAATTCGGAGAAAGACACGTGTTGTGATTGATTTTGGGAGGAAGTGCTATGTTCATCGCTCGTCATTATTTCTTCATTATTTTCTTCCCTTATCTCATCAACATCATCACTTTCAACTTTTAGAAAGCGATTTCCATGAAATCTACATTTTTCTTAGCACTTCTAACAAATTTTCTTTTAGGAGGCATGATCGCATGAACATAAACAAGTAAACATCTTTCTTTTGCTTTCTATGCACTTGAATTTCGAAATTAGCTTAGCAGCCAGGCATATTATTCAAGCTAGATACCACTTCTCTGTACCAACACACATAATTTGAACTTTTCAAACACTACACTAACTTTGAGGGGTGTTTTTTTAAAAAATTTAATCTGGT